GTCCTACACAATTCCTTTTCCTTCACCTACTTTTCCACAGACCCCCAACCCGTTGCCACTGTCTGTGCAGATAGTTCCCCACATCATCCCTAGGGAGGAGGAGGAATGTCACCAGTGGGTGTAGAGGAACAGGGGAGGGCCCTTCAGCGACACACAGAGACCCACAGCAGGACTGCCTCTGTAATAACCATTCCTTCCAGATCATGTCCGTAGTCCAAGAGGAAAAAGAAAGCATTGAAGCAGCTGCTTTAAGACTATTGCATTAAATGCAGGCGCTGAATTTACCTTCAGCTCTGCCTAACCCATTAATGTGCAACATTTAAAATCCACCTCACATGAGATTTACAGATAAAACTGAAAATTTTGTTTTTTTCTGAGCATTTAATGATTTTTTAAAAACTACACAACCAAACAATTCTGATAGATATGAACACTCTGCATAAACAAGCAGAGGAACAATTTAACAGAAGCCTGAAGCATGCATTCGTTTTCTGCATTTTTTTTTTCCCTGTCACAGGAAACTACAGATTCATGTAGCTTAAAAACACATTAAGAACCCCACCAGCCTTCACATGGGTGCTAAGAGAGAAACATGGGGTGAAACAGGCAAGGAAGGAAGAGTATCTACTTCTGACCGTTGCTGGGTTCAGCTCTAACCCCCCAAAAGAGGGCAATCTGTCATTTATGACAAATTACTTGCTTCCCCCTACTGATTTTTTTCTATAAATAGAGCCCTATTTAACAAGTACCCAACAGAGGGAGTCCAAGGCAGAAGTCCCCTTATAGTGAGGGCTCCTTACCCCACGGCAGATGGGAAACTCTGACCCAGATCCACATCCCTCCAATCTACTTTAAATAAAAGAAAATCAGCAGCCACAATGAAACCCCCTCCCCTAAGGGAACTGGGTTGAAAAGCCGGGGAGGGGGATGGACACCCACACACAAACCCAGGATTGCCAGCAAGAACACAATCTGCTCTTTTATTATGGAAAAAATACATCCCACACTGTCAAAGCCCTTCAGGAATTATCCTCTGCTGAGTTCCACAACCCCTGTTGATCTGAAGTCCCTGGCCATGCCACCAGTGACACCACGCAGTGTCCTGCAGCTGTGGTGACAACACCCACGACATGCAGGGACAAAGACAACACGTGTATTTTCCTGACAGACAAGAAAGACAGACAGACACAAATCACAGTCACATCTTTATTATAAAAATGTTCAGGTGGCCAAAAGTTTCTGAAGTACTGTTGCACCTCCCTTTGTTTCAGTACTTTTTTCATTTCACAATACAGACTAGAATTACTTGGTTACATATAGAACAGATTTTTTTTCTTTTAAAGTTCTCTCAAAAGTCTACATTCCAGTTTGAAATGTTGTAGAAATCCAACAGAGAAGGCACTCAGCACTCTAATTCAGCTCCTCCCTGAAAACCACCTCTGAAAATCATGTCAGAAGCTCAATGCACACGTGATTAAGGCACATGGGAGCTGAAGTTTCAAAAGAGAGAGCACTTCAGGAGGAGGAAAAGAACCATCCTCCCTGTAGAGCACAGTGCAGGTCAGAGTGAGGGTGTGCCTGAGCTGACAGCAATACTCACACACACACAACATGACTTGTTCTCAGGGATAAAACTTGACTGACAGGAATGGGATGATCCATACAACACTGTGCAAATAAACTACAGAATTGCCAAGGACAAATGTTTTCATTTATACTACGAATGGGCATTCCT